CATATTGACAAGAGCTAAGTATATTGTGTTTGGCTAGATAAGAGTAAAGCTGCTTGTAGATTAGTTTTTCAAATATTTTTGACAAGTTAGGCAGGATTGATATGGGTCTGTAGTTGTTAACATCTGTGAGATCACCACATTTGTGGACAGGGGTTACTCTCGCTTTTTTTAGAATATCTGGAAAGGTATGGAGTTCAAGTGACTTGTTGAAGAGCAAAGCAATAGCAGGGGCTAAAGATCTGGAGACTTTTTTGTAAATTAAAGTTGGTATCTCCTCAAGGGCACAAGACTTGTTTTTAAGGGAAAGGATTATCTCATTAACGTCAGTGGAATTAGTAGGCTTTAGGTACAGAGGCTGTGGATAGTTACCTGTAAGATAGTCCTGAACATCAGTACTGGAAGATGGAATATCATTTGCAAGGGATGACCCAATGGAAGAGAAGAACCTATTGAACTCAATAGAAGAATCAGAGGCTGAAAGCTGACCATTGTTATTGGACAGGAGTGTTGGTTTGTTATTTAAAATCTTCTTTGATCCCAATATTTGTGAAATTGTGCTTCAAGTTTTTTTAATGTTGCTCTTTGTTTGGGTAAATTTATCTTCGTAGTATTTAGTTTTGGCTCGTCTAATTATTTTAGATAACAATAATGAGTAATTCTTTGAGAATTCTTTGGAGACGGTTCCTAACCTATATTTCTTCTCAAGGTCATGTTTTTTTTTTTTTTTTTGAGATATATACAGGAGTTGTTACATTCTTGTACAGCCACTAGTACGCGTAGCGTTTCGGGCAAGTCCTTAATCCTATGGTCCCTGGAATACGATCCCCTGCCGCGAAGAATCGTTTTTTCATCCAAGTACACATTTTACTGTTGCGTTAAACAGAGGCTACAGTTAAGGAATTGCGCCCAGTAAATCCTCCCCGGCCAGGATACGAACCCATGACATAGCGCTCGCGGAACGCCAGGCGAGTGTCTTACCACTACACCACGGAGACCATTTTATTAATGGATTTAAGTATTCCCTTTGTAAGCTAAGGATTGTTAAGCCTTTTGGTTGTACCTTGTTTCGTAAGCATAGGACAGTGGGTGTTATAAAGGCTGAGAGTTTTTTGAAGAAAAGATTGCACTGCTAGGTTGATGTCCCCTATGTTACCTAACTCGGACTCCCAGTTGACATTATCAGCAACAGTTATAAAATTGCCTATAGCAGTTTCATTGTGCAGCCTAAAACTTAACTCCCTTGACTCAAGAGGTGGTTTGTTAATGTTAGTGAAGAGAAATGTGGGGTAATGGTCTGTAGTGCTATCGGTAATTATACCTGAAGTAAGCGGAGAGGTTTTGTTGGTCCAGATGTGATCTAGAGTCGTGGCAGTACTATCAGTGATTCTAGTAGGTCTAGTGATTAAGGGTATGAGGAAGCAGGAATTCATACAGTTGAGGAAGCTAACAGCAGTAGGGCGTTCAGGCTCGCAGAGGTCAATATTAAAGTACCCTGCGATAATTAGATGGTTTTTGTTCAGTCTGTTATCTAGTATTAGATTTCTAAGGTTGGAGTTGAATTCGGACACATCTGTGTTAAGAATTCTATAGACTGCACCCACAGACAGGACAGACTCAGCACCCTTGATTCTGAAACCGGCGAAGATATACTCCCCACAGCAGTCTCTAGTTCTAATTACTTTTAAGATGTTAGTTCTTGGTGGTAGTAAAGAGCAGTACCACCACCTCTCTGAATTTGACGACAGTTGTGAATTGCCGAGTAGTTAGGCATGTTAAAGAGTTGAGTAGTATCCTCTTTCAACCACGTTTCAGTAAGTATAATAAAAGAGAATTTGTTGTCAATAGTTTCAATCAAGGCACTAACATCATAGAAGTGTTTACCTAGAGATCTAACGTTCAAGTTGATTACAGAGATATTGTGATTATGTGTTAATACATTGTTTACATCATGTGCTGTATAATATCTGCAATTTTGACCATTTAAGTGATGATTGTCATAGATAGTGGATAAGAGGTTTAGTACTGGGTCTATACTTGTCTGCATAAAAAGGCTGGTTGTTGGAAAACAAGGCAAGAATGGCAATTACAAAATAGGAATTTGAAATAAAAGGGGGAAAGAGAAAAAAATATATAAACAAGACTATACAAAACAAACACAAAATGAACAAAAAAAGAAAAATGAGGTAGCTTACAAGGGGCTTACAGGTACTCTCAGGTACACTGTAAGTAATAATTTGCATTACGAGACACAGGCAAAGCCAGGGGTACAATGGAGTAAGGGAGTATGGCGAGGCTAAGCAACCTAGGTAATAAATGAAATCAAAGAAAAAAGTTGATTAATAAACATAGGCAAATTTAAGCTAAAGATTATTACCTATAAATAGTTTAGTTATGAACGTATAATTAATAAAACCTAAAGAAATATTAAAGCACTCAGTTAATTAAGTCTAATAAATGACTTAGGTAGGTAGGTAGGTAGGTAGATATGGAGGAGAAGCTGTTACCCATGCAGCAGGTCCCCCCTCTCCACGTTGCTGAAATTATCCAATAGAAAGGCAAATGCCAATACACATGGTTCCAGCAACGTCGCAGGAGCTGCCAGAACGAGGTCGACGTCAACAACGAACTGCCTTAGGGGCTCCAACTCCGGATTTTTCCTCGAGGTTGACTCCTGAAGCCTTTCCCAAAAAAAGGGGTATGGCCGCAAGTCAGCGGAGGTTTAAAATCAGGGTTTTCCTTCCACTAGATGGGCTGCCTTCCCAGGCTATCGAGTCCCATCTACCCGGAGCAGCTGGTTTTAAGGCGCCAGAGACACGCCCTCGCCCCTTCTCCTGTCGGTAACAGCAGTTCCGCCGGACTTAAAGACTAAGCCACCCGTGCAGGCCAGGAGTTGGTTGTCAGAGGCTATTGGAGACGCATGCCGTATAGGAGCATTTTATAGGCCATGGGAGCTCGTCCCCCATTACCACCCCCGGCTATGACAACCCCTTGGAACCAAAACAATGCAATAATAATACAATAACACTTACTTTTTAATTACTGCATGTCCCCTGAAAGTAAAGAAGAATGACATGGACATAACACGGATTCACTAAATGTGTAATTAATGTAGTGTAAGATGACAAACACACTTCAGATCCGGTTACAGTAATCAGGCAGACTAGCTGTAATAGGTATTGTGCTTCCTCGGGGAATCGAACTCCTTCCCGTAGAGGGATTATGAATAACGAACACCGATCGGCTGACTAGGTCAACATGAGGAATTTGGCACTAAGACAAATGAGACAAAGAAATAATGGTTTGAGTACTCACGTTAATTATACCAGTATTTCCCACACATTCGATAAGCATTCACCCTCACTATGACCTCCGCTGTTGATTGAAGACACAGGAGTTACGGAGTGAGGTGAGCAAGGATAAGTGAGAGGTGCGGCTGGGTGAGGCGGCTTGGGGGCCTGCCTCGGGCAGCGTGTGTTTTTTTTATTATTATTATTATTATTTTATACCACAGACGTGGCCACACATACTGTGTGGCCACAGCCACGAGACGCTAGGGCGAAAATCGCCTGGCTCCCGCACTAATAAACTCAGGAGGGCTCACAAATGTACACCGGGTATGCACACTAGCGTGATTTGCTGAAGGCTGACTGAATACACGCTGGAATATTTTGGGGGGACTCACGGGATGGGTTCACAAGGTGATCACTGAGTGGACGAAAGATAAACAGAGTCCACAAATCCCAATAACTGAATATCCCTGAAAGAATTTCAACCACTTGGAATCGCATTGCTCGATTCCTTCCACGCAGTTTGCACAGTGATATGGTGACGGATCGCTCTCTATGAAGCAGATGAACACCGATTTACTTGACACAGTCCAGTTGCATCTGTGGGGTGACAAGTGCGACGGGTAAGATTTCCATCTTGTATCTTCATTATATGACATCTACCAGCACCCATCGATTACCGGATTCTGCGACGATAATGTTGGGTCGTGGGAGATACACTTCAGCTGGCTGAACTATGATGTAGACAGGAATAATCCCCTGATCTGGCCGGAACAAAGGACTCCACGTCTACCTAAGACAGCGTCAGGGCATAGAATACTCGCCTGAGTGCGGGAAGGAGCCTAGGGCCAGGTGTCCCCTTGGTGTGGAACAGCCAATCAGGCTTGAGCATTGAGTAGGCACAGATGCCTCCTCTAATCACAACCACCTGCCGGTGACGTGACGTCACGGCGACCTTTACCTCAGGCGACAGGCCGACGACCCTCTCTCCTCCCTTCTTGTTGCTAGGCGACTTTAGACCAGAATTCAAGCTGAACCTGTAACTATTTATCCAGAAATGCTACAGCAACGATCGTTAGTTCTCTGGATAGCTGAAGGTGTCTGCTTCCTAAAGACATCTAATTTTGACCTCCAATCTCCTATATCAAGGGAGATAGACTTTTGTGCACACCCGTGCACTCTCTGAAATTTTACTAAAGCCAAAATATCGATTTTCTCCTTCTATCTACTATGTGTAAGCTAGCTCAGAAATGTAATCTCTATCAGTGGTCAAAACGCTCGTGAAATGCGGGGTGTGTTACCACTGCGGCAGGGGGACTGATATTTCATAATAATTTCATAAAACTAGTAATAATTTTTGAAGATTACATTATTAACTATCTAACGTCAATTTCTCTAAAGCTTGTTGAAATGTATTCCACATTCTGATTACGTAGAAAACACAAATAAAATTGTTATTTTTTTAATATGTTTATTTTAAGGTTACAGTGCTAAAATTTTCTCAGAAGTCTTAGACTCATATATTCCTTCTTCCCTAGAACTTTGAACAATATTGACATTTCAATTTCACTTTCATCAGTAATATCTGGAATTTACCCTCCATTTGCGCCAGACCTTTCACAGCCCTTTCACTCAACTTTTTGTGATTTGTTCAGGATCTATAATGTAAGTGTATTTTAAGCATAATATTTAGTTCTTTTTATATTACAATAGGCAACAGCAACTGAACCATTTGGAGAACAAGCAGAGAACACAATAAGGGTGAATTATTTTGGCACAGTTGCAGTATGTCGGGCACTCTATCCCCTTCTTCGGCCTCATGCCAGGGTGTCAATGGTGTCTAGCAGTGCCGGTCATCTCTTGAGAATCAATGGAGATGAACCTGCTGCATCAGCTCTTAGGCAGAAGTTGTCATCCTCAACACTTACTGAAGGAGAACTCAGTGAATTAATGAATCAGTTCATAAAGTAAGAATTGAGATTTTTGGGCAGAAAATATTTTTTGTTCTGTGTTTAAGTTCCTGAGGCTACTGTATGGAACAGCTTTTTATATGTTTAATATGAAAATCTTTTGCTTCAATTTAAGATGTTAAAGTTTACTTTGTATATAATTTTCAATTTTGTACATACCTTTTTAACATTTCCTATTCCAAAATAGTTATTTAAATACAACACTGAAATAGGTTCAGAGAGTGCTCAGTGTGTGGTCTTTGTTACATCCTGGTTGGCTCTACTCAGTTCCAGTCACATACGGTCCATGCAGGTCTTTAAATGTCTACTGGAGTCCCCCTCCCCCCCTTCACTGAGGCTCATGGACCAGAGGATTCAAGATCACTCTCACTGAAGGAAAGAGCCGCCAGAAAGGTAGGGAGACCTAAAACAAACAACAGCAACGGAAAAAAGCAAAAAAACAACAATAAAAAATGGGAAAATAAGCCACATATAAAGGAGTCTAGAGAAATATAAAAAATACAGAAAATGGGTAACCAACGAGTAAATGGGTAAAAATGGGTAACAGTAACTCGTTCAATGACTGGAGGAATCTGAATCAATCGTAGCTGGTCAATTTCCAAAGATTGAGGCTGTGCCGTTGGTCCGCCCAATCCCACTTTGGGGCCGGGACATACACTGACGGTACAAGGTCACCTCTATCTCGGTCGACTTTTGCCAACCCGCAATGACCCGATATAGTTTAAGGGACGAATCCTTATTGTTACACCGACCCCTAGGACGAGGAAGGGACTGACCAACTCCACCACAGGCAGCGGGAAAGGACGCAAAAAGTTCATAAATCGTCGGACCAGGAGTTGGCAAAACAAGCCAATCCCCCCCCCCCCCCCCCACCTCCACCACCACCTCCACAGTGGCATCAAAGAGGCGAACCTTGAAAGGACCAGCATGAACCATTAGAGAACCAACTTTCCACAAACCGTAGTAGTGCTGTCGAGCAGAATAGGAATTCGCAACAGGAGGCACATCAGCATGGGAATCAGACCTTCTGATTACGTACCTCGACCAACCAACAGGCAGGCAAGACTCCACCAGACCCTTTCTGAGTGGGGGCAAAACCTTCAAGAAGACAACAGATGGTCAATTGGGTGGGATGAAAAAGTCACAGTAGATAAAACCTGCGCAACAGAGTCCTCAGGAACCTCTGTGTCGAGGTTCCTCGACAGAACCTCTACACAGAGGTTCTTCTTCTGTGTTGACGTCCTATTGTAACACAGAACAAAATACAGGGATTTGACAGGAGCAGAGCAGCAGCAGCCAGTTATTTCTAAAAGATGGGTGATAAGTATTGGGTTAATCAGTCCAATGCCACACAAAACCGGTGAGCTTTTGAAAGATTCACCAAATATCATGCCGCCAGAACCCTACTCAAATGCCAAAACCCACGAAACTGAGTCTGGCTCAACTTAGAAAACTCTTCGTTAATTGGTATAATAGAACCCATCACCAGAAATAAATATATCTTTGATATCCTCAGAGTCAAACTAAATATGTGCAAACACTCCATGCAAATAAAAGGACCCAGTATGGAATTCACTCCCTAATGAATTAGCAAATTATCCAACCTATGCCCTATTCAAAAGTAAAACCAAAAAGTACCTAATTTCTTTTTCGTAGTTTCCTACCTTATGCTGCACTCACACTGTATCTTGTGTTACCCACTCCCCCAATTCTAGTACTCAATTCAAATTCAAATTCAAATTTGTACTCAAAGAAATATGTGTATAAAGAACATAGGAGTAATGTACAATTGTACATTACTCATATTTAAATAACCCTAGGCTTTAATAACCTACAAGAGCCTGGTGGGGCTTGATAGGTTCGAATTTACCTGAGGGCCATTAACACTAGTGGCCTCGACGAGGACAGGAAGCCGGTGGCTTGTCGAAGGTCCCCACATTTGCCTTGATGATCTTTTCCAGTTGGATTTTAAAACCCAAAAGAGATTTGGCATTTACAGCTTCGGCGGGTAAGTGGTTCCATGGGTTTCTAACTCTGTGGGTGAAAAATCATCACCTGTTCTCAGTCCAATATTGTGGCTTGTTGAGCTTGAAACCGTTGCTCCATGTTTGTGTTACATCTGACCTGCTGAAGAAATTTTCCGGATCACGAAAGCTAACCAGTTGGGTAGCTAGCTACTGAGGAGCAAGCCAGAAAGAGCCATTTCATTACATTCAACACTAGATTTATATATATTGCAAAAAAACTCATCTTGTAATTTTATGTCAATTCACTGCAGAAAGGCTAAGGATGGAACATATAAAGAAGCTGGATGGCCTAACAGTACCTATGTAGTAAGCAAAGTGGGTGTATCAGCTCTGACACGTATTCAGCAACGAGCCTTTGATGTCGACTCTCGTCCTGATTTGGTGGTGAACAGCTGTCATCCTGGATATGTTGATACGGACATGACTTCTCACACGGTTAGTTGGGATGGACATTTGGCAAATATTATGAGGTCTCCCATTTCCCAGTCTTCTGCTGGATGTTCTGTCATATTATGACAGTATTAATGAAGGTCAGGTAACAGGTAAGCAATATAAGGGTCTACTTGACCCAATATGAGGGTCAATGCCCACTAAATCCTAGCCAAAACAGTTAATCAGCGGAATTGCAGAATCTGTGGTGAGAGTGATGGACATCGCCTTGAACACTATCTACGTGAATGTGAACACCTGAGAGAAATCAGAACTATGTGTAGAATAATAAACCCCACATTGTTTGAGTTAGGAAAACACTATTTGTCAAATATTGATACTGTTCTTAAATGATTCCCCCCATTTTGCACCCGCAAGATAACGTAAATTTTTATGGGTTGACAGATGTTAATCTTCTAGTTTGAGGAGCTGTTCACTTGAGACAGTTAAGCAAGTCCCAGCAGTGTCTGGGTACAAGTTTTTTTTTTTTTTTTTACCACAAACGTGGCCACACATTTACAATGCTAACCAGCATATATACATTTTCTTCTGTCCTCCATGGACAGGGTTAGAGAAGTGTTAAACATATAGTTCAAGGGTTTATTGAACACTCAACCACAGAAGGTGATTCGGTGCTTTTAAAATGCTAAGCTAACCTACGTACGTAAATACATAGATACACAGATTTACGTATGCTCTACATAAAGTGTTTGATGTGTCTTTTACATAGTGTCATTAATGTACATTCACAAAGGTGAAATGTAATTCTGATCAGCTTCCATATATACTTTATACCCATACATATACATACACACACACATACATACATATATACACACACACATGCATTCACATACATTTGTCTCATTTACTCTGACAAGTGACAGGATGAACAACCCAGCGGGTTTTCTTCCTATTTGGGAGTGTTGTACATGCTGCTATGGTGGTGTGTCCACTCACAGGATGAGTGGCGCTGCCCAATAAACTCGCCCCTCGGGGCCAAATTTAAAAAAAAAAATACAGACAGACACAGACAGCAGATACAGATAGACAGACAGACAGACAGACAGACAGACAGACAGACAGACAGACAGACAGACAGACAGACAGACAGACAGACAGACAGACAGACAGACAGACAGACAGACAGACATAGGCACAGACAGACATACACAGACTATAACTAAATTTGTCTTCAGACAACACACAGCCCTCTGTTTAAGTCCCTTAACATGCTAAACATACACTCACACCACATATTCTCATGTGCTATTTACATGTACAAAACCTGTTCCTAAATGCCAAAACTGGCGAGCAAGTTAATATAGCAAAGCTGCACAGAACCTTTTGTACCTCAGTCCCCTCACCGGAGAAGTGTTGCCCAACAAGCAGCTGTGGAGCCAGAGCAAGCTCAACATTCAGCAGAATCTCTTGTGATGGTGGTTACTCCAATATTGGTCTTGCATGTGGAATTTATAATGCTATGAATATTTCCTTGGTGAGATTCTCTCTATGTAATGCTGTGTTAACAGGTTTATTTAGGCTTCTGGCAATAGGCTGCTGGAAATTCGCCTACAGTTCTCATGGTTTGGATGGGTTTGACCTTTCCTTAAAGTTTGCTCACACTGCGTGTGGGTGTTCGAGATATGATGCAGTTTCGGTGCTTACCAGTGGTCATTATTTCTGCCTCTACTATTCGGATTATTGGGTAAATGAATGTTTCTGTTCTGGGACCTGCTACATGCGGTGGTTAGGTTTGTTTTGGATGAGACCCCATCTCTGGATGTGACTTATTAGATGGATGTCCTATTTTCAGGAGAGGTCTTTCGATTTAATTCATTCTTGTGCAGACGAGGAGTCACAATAACGTGGCTGAAATATGTTGACCCAATCACACACTAGAAAGTGAAGGGACGACGACGTTTCGGTCCGTCCTGGACCATTCTCAAGTCGATGAGAATGCCTTGGAGTTAGTGCCCACATTTTTTTTTATGAAGATATGGCGCATTTAGCAACCTGAGTGGCTTGAGTTAGCAACATACTAACTCAAGATGATAGCAAAATGACAGTGGGAGTAGGCTACAGGGCTGACACAGCAGTAGTAGAGGATGTTAGCCCATGGAACTACCTACCCGCCGAGGCCGTAAATACCAAATTTGTTAACTTTTAGAGTACAACTGGAAAAGATCATCAAGGCAAATAGAGGGACCTTCCACAAGCCACCGGTTTCCTGTCCTCGCCAAGGCCACTAGTGTTAGTGGCACTCAGGTAAACAAGTAAACTCTAGTAATTTAGTTATGACACTTGTTCAAAGTTTGCCCCCTAGTCTCACTCTTCTTGTGGTCTTGCTGATGTTGTCAGTCATCTTGTATCTCCTCGATCCATACTCACAACCTAATTAAAGTTTTGGAGCCCGGGTTTCATGTAGGTTTGTGGGTAGCATGTCAAGTCTCCAGGAATTGCCTTTTCCTTGCCACTGGCAGATGTAGTTGTACTGGCATTTTCCATCACGAAACTGACTTTTTGTTCTGGAGAGTTCTCGGGGTGTGAATTCTCCCTCGTCGGGAACACGTGCCTATTCTCTCTAGTGCTGAACATGAATCCCGGCACTGCTCTGAGTTGCTTGGCTACTTGGGATGGAACTTAGCGGGTGGCAGGGGGGTGCCTTTCAGCCCGTCTTGCCCATTGTTGCCCTCGTCTGAGGGCATTTATGAGTGCCAGTAGGTTCCTCGTATTCTCCACCCATTAAACAGATTTCCGATGTCCTCCTTCGTCCTGAAGGTCATCATTAGTTAACATACCTCCTTGATTATATCCTTTACATAAATCAGGAACAGAATAGGCCTAAGGATTTTTATCTTGAAAAACATAAATTAATAAATGATTCGCAACATGGTTTTACAAATGGCCGTTCATGTTTAACAAATTTGTTATCTTTTTATTCCAGCGTAGTTGAGGCAGTTGACAGTGGTAAGGATTGTGATGTTGTGTACCTTGACTTTAGCAAAGCTTTTGATACAGTGCCACATGAAAGACTGATTAAAAAGATAGAGGCACATGGTATTGGGGGTGTTATATTAAGCTGGATTAGGGCATAGCTATACCAAAGGAAACAGAGAGTTAGTATAACTGGGGTTAAGTCAGAGTGGGAAAATGAAGTAAGTAGAGTGCCTCAGGGCTCTGTCCTGGGACCTCTGTTGTTTATAATATATATAAATGATTTAGATTCAGGTTCGAGTAGCAACATTAGCAAATTTGCCGATGATGCAAAAATCGGCAGGGAAATTAACACGGAAGAAGAGACTCACTATCACTTCAAGTTTATCTAAATAAAGTTTTGAAATGTTCAAAGGATTGGCAGATGCAGTTTAATAATGATAAATGTAACATTTTGAGGCTAGGTAATGATGATAGAGTTACAAGATACAAGGTAGATGGTGTTGAGATTGCGAAGTCGGATTGCGAAAGGGATCTGGGAGTTATGATTAGTAAGAATTTAAAACCAAAGTATCAATGCACGAATGTTCGCAATAAGGCAAATAGGACACTGGGATTTATTAATCGAAGTGTTAGTAACAAGACACCTGGTGTTGTTCTTCAGCTATATCTCTCTGTGGTTAGGCCCCATTTAGATTATGCAGTTCAGTTTTGGTCGCCGTACTATAGAATGGATATAAATTCACTTGGACGTGTCCAACGTAGGATGACAAAGTTAATTCCCCAAATTAGAAATCTTTCATATGAAGAAAGATTAACAAAGCATAAATTGCATTCATTGGAAAGGCGAAGAGCTAGGGGTGACATGATAGAGATATACAAGTGGATTACTGGACATAACAAAAGGGATATTAATAGGGTATTAAAAGTATCAACTCAAGACAGAACCCAAAACAATGGATATTAATTGAATAAGTTTAGATTTAGGAAAGACTTGGGTAAATACTGGTTCAATAACAGGGTTGTTGATTTGTGGAACCAATTACTGCGTAACGTGGTGGAGGTGGGGTCCCTCGATTGTTTCAAGCGTAGGTTGGACATGTATATGAGTGGAATTGGGTGGTTATAAATAGGAGCTGTCTAGTATGGGCCATTGACGCATACGACTCCTTGAGTCGTATGCGTCAATGTACAAGTTTTTATTTCTTCCTCTGTGTGTATGTATTATATATTTTGACTACATATAAATATTGTTGTATTCCACAGGGTCGTCTTACCATAGAGCAGGGGGCAGTGTGCCCATCATATTTAGCTCTCCTGCCACCTAATATAAAGGAGCCCCGGGGAGCCTTTTTGTGGTACGACAAGCAAGTCGTTGATTGGGTTAATGGACCTACACCTTCTGCTTTTTGAACATCATGCAATAAAAATTGGTTGCATTTAATTTCCAACAGCACAGGTAAAAGAATATCAGAGAATGTTTCAGATACATTTAACATGAATATTGAACACGGTTTTATATTTCCTTGTAAATTAAAGGTTTTAGTTTAATGTTTGGAACAGACCTTTGTCATGTATTAATTGGTCAAATTAAATGTGAGCATTTGGAAGCTGATTTCCTGTAGGACAAATTGATTCAAGTTAGTGCCTTCAGCCTTATGCTTTCCCACTCATGAGTCTTTATTTATTTTTATTTAGATATTTATTTATTTATATACAAGAAGGTACGTTGGGTTTATGAGCGTACAGAGCATTGAAATTTTACTTTCTTGTAAAGCCACTAGCACATATAGCATTTTGGGCAGATCCTTAATCTAACATATAATTTTAAGAAGGTAATTTCTAGCAAAATAAAAAAAAATGTTTACAGGAACTTTGTAAGAAAGTATAAAAATACATTGTAAGAAAGTACGAAAAATACATTGTATAAGAAATTTGACAGAAAAATACATTGTATAAGAAATTTGACCGAAAAAAGTAGGTACATTAAAGTAAAGTTAAGGACTATCCACAGGTACATTGTAGCATAATTTGAGGATTATTGCAAGGTATAATGTAGTAAAAAAATTATATTATAAGGAGCCCAGTATCTTCGTTGCAGGAGCCTCTGTATGTCTATTAATCTATTTGTAAGCTGGCAATTATACTCCTTAGACAAGTTGGCACTTATGGGCTGGGCACTTGAACTCCTGAGGTCAGGCACCACATTGTATTATGGTAAACTCAATTAATACTTATTACTTATTTATTGGGTAATTATTACTAGGATAGTTTTGAACCAGTATTTGCCTGTTAAGGATGTACTTCTTTGTGGATAAGATATTTTTGTTTCCCGGTACATTAAATGAATATATAATTAAAAAATAACCTGCATTAATAATTGTTTAATTTTTCTTTACCTTAATTGGTTGGGAATGAATTGTATTTGTTTTCTGACTGTATTGTATGAGCTTGTATGATGATGATAATAATACTCAGAGTAATCACACTAACGCGATGTATCAATGAGAAAATGCCTAGGAGCTGTGATGAGTCAGAGTGCATGAGTGGGGGGGGGGGTGGGATTGTGTGAAAACCCTGGTCCGGTTTCAGTGGAAGCCTCAGAAAACCCTCGTGTGTTCAGTTGTACTCCAAGTTGCACTCCGTTGACCATGCCGTGATTTGGTTGTCTGAGGCGAGTACGTAGCATACCCTTCGCAAAGGGTCGAATCCTCATCACGGCTCCTATTGTTTTTCTCAATAATAATAATTATAATAATAACTTTTATTTAAAAATATACAAAAGAATATTATACAGTGTTTTACTAATTGTTACGAAGCATGTATATTTAATAAGGCTGCTAATATGCAAAGCATTTTGGGCAAACTTTATATAATAGTTAGGTTGTTTAACGGATCGATGAGGTAGACAATAATAAACAAGATGCAAGCTAGCATATACATTGTTCACGACATTTACCATATGATATACAACTTTTAGGGAGGGCATAATGTAAACAAAAATTTGAGAAAATGAACATATATTTTGGGGTAATACTTAACATTAAATAATAAAAGGTAATATTTACAAATTGTTGAAATATTTGAAAAAAATTGACAATTATGCAAGAAACATTTATAAACTGTCATTGTCTTAACAATACATAGTCACTAATTTCAAAATTGTAGATGAGATTTAAAAAAATGACTTACATTGTTTAATGAAATATTGAAACAGTAGTATGTATTTAGTAACAGATATGTAGTAATTAATAATTTAAGTTGACAACAGAAGTAAGATGGAATGATAAAAGGTGAGGAAAACTGTTTACATACAGTGAATAAGGTAGTTCTTAGTTTCCCTTGACGAGAGAAATATTCTCTTTCATTCTCATTAGGGCGGTCATTCCATAATCTAGGACCCTTGATTTGCAGCATATTGCTGCTTTGACTAAGTCGCATTCTAGGAATATAAAAAATATGTATGTTTCTGGGTTAAGCGAAACTCAAACTTAGAAGGTGAATATAAACTTAAAACTAATTTAATTAAGATTTAAGTAATATGTAAATTCGTGAATAATTGGTGAACATTTAAATCCACGATGGACATGACTGACTATGAGATACATATTAGGGCATTTAACTCAGCCTCCCAGAAAATCAGATCTGTGGGAAAATCTGACTCCAATGTTTGAATTAATTAAAAGGAAAAAACTTCAATAGCTATGAAGGACCACCACTTTTTGAGAAAAGTGGAAAACAAAAATGAACAAGTGGATTAATATTGATACCAAGAACTAGTGTCCTATGGATCTTAATGGGACTGTAATTTATCATGAAAATAGGAGCCAAATTCTCTTTCACAAATTGGGGGGTACGAGCGCTAAGATACGAATACGTCCTAGCACCAATACTCTAACGCTGGTTCTTCCGTTAGAAAGAAATGTAAATGTAAATGCATATTATAGTTCATACACATAGAATCAAATATGAAGTGAAAGTAGTAAATAATGGATATCACTGGTAAATGATAAGTAAATGGCAATTTTCAATAGAAATCATTTATGTCAATGTTAGTACTCTATTAAAAATGCAACACTACTAGAATAAAAGGTCAGCTTAGCTTTTCCATTAATTTCATTGTAAGATGTGTGGGGTGGTCACACTTATTCCAACACGTGGCTCGAGCATACACATGGAATGAAAGTTATTCTTCCCCTTTTCGCTGCTTCCACTCCAGTTGAAAGCAAGATAAACTGTACAAATTGTCTAGGCTAGAATTAATATGCCACTATTTTTTATTGAAAGTGGGAGCCTGGAATTAAATGAAACTAACATTGATTATATTGTTATCACGTAGTGTAACAAACGAGCAACCTACACGTAAAAATGTTATCAAGTGCACTCTATAACAAATATCAGTAGGAAACCAGAGGAATTATGCTCGCCTGAACATGTGTTTAATGCGGATGTAGACTTCCACGAACTCTGGCACCCACTGATGCAAGGGTGATGTAAATCTGAGTCGTTTACTGGGAGCTCTGTAACACAGTAACTCTTTGCACACTGGTAATGGCGTCAAGTCTCCACCTCTCTCTCGGCACACACGCTGTTAATGGCGTCCAAGGGTCCTCCTTCCTCCTACCCCCGATTGCGCTTGCGCAGCTCTCGGTAGGTATCTCGATCGTAAGTGAATTTATATATTTCTAAGTTAATTAGGGAAGGATGAGATTGTGACGTATATTTATGTCACGTTTAAATTTTTTATGTTATAATATAACCTCTCGCAGCATTAGTCGGTTTATTAAAGGCACGTAAATAAATGAGAGGTATATAAAGGGGAATTATTTTACCCTTTTAATAATTTCCATTAGAGTGGTTAAATTTAACTAAATAAGCAAGTTCCGGTAAGCAGTAATGTGCTACATAAATAAACTTGTTAGTAAACGATTGTATATCAAGGCACTACGGGCTCACCATAGGGGGCCTCGTAGCCTGGTGGATAGCGCGCAGGACTCGTAATTCTGTGGCGCGGGTTCGATTCTCGCACGAGGCAGAAACAAATGGGCAAAGTTTCTTTCACCCTGAATGCCCCTGATACCTAGCAGTAAATAGGTACCTGGGTGTTAGTCAGCTGTCACGGGCTGCTTCCTGGGGGTGGAGGCCTGGTCGAGGACCGGGCCGCGGGGACACTAAAGCCCCGAAATCATCTCAAGATAACCTCAAGATAGCCCGTGTTACTTGGAACTTTTTGTTCCAGGTAGCGAATCTAACAACATAAACCATAAACGATTATCCTGAGTAAAGGAAGTAATAAACTGGACTCTGTTTAAATCCAACAATATGTGGAAATTTTCCTGTGGCTGCCTGTTGGAACATGCAGTAGGAAAGATTTGGCAGAATATTGCTCATTATAAAATCATGATTATGGTTAATTTTACATGTTAGTAATTTTTAGTAACTATTTGTGGTTAATACAAAAATGTTGTATGAAAATACAAAGGATGGATGAAAACTGTTGGTTATTTCCAACATAACTCCGGGGGGGAGAGAACTTGGGTCGTAGTTCAGGTCTTAGTACTAACGTACACCTGTCTCTCTATCCTGAAGTTATATTGATGGGTTAGTAGGTTAGTACACACCTAACGAATGTCCCGAATCTGTGGCAGATATGACTCTAAGTCATCATGGGAACGTAAGTAAATATTAAAAATATTGAATAATTATCTGAAGAAACAGAATGATAATATAAAAATGAAATATGCATAATTAAATCATTTAAGATCAAGGAGACTTCGACAATACAATGAGGTCACTGTCCTGGGTCACTATGACAGCGACCCAGGACAATGTCCAGTAACTGTCGGGTTACTGGACATTAACTCATCACTGCATCAGCATGGTCACCTCAAGTTTAAATGATGAGTTATTGTTATGACCCTTGACCTCTGGGTATGGTCCCTCTGTTGCAGTTGTTAAAAAAATATATAATAATACGGCCTTGCCTACTAAAAGTGTCTAGGGTAAATAACTCAACTGCTTACTCAACAAAGCAATATACTTAAAGTAAGGGTAACAAAGAACATACAAGCATATAAATGGAAATACAGGCAGCCAAAAATATTAATGCATCAGAATTCAATAACGCAATATCAGTAGTGGTAAACTTGACAGGGCAGGACACCTGTTATCGCGCCAGATCTGATGTAATAGGTGTTGTTATCAGATATGTTATCTTAGGAACAACCCTTGGTTCCAAGGGGTTGTCATAGCCAGGGGGTGGTAATGGAGGACGAGCTCCCATGACCTATAAAATGCTCTAATACGGCATGCGTCTCCAATAGCCTCTGACAACCAAGTCCAACTCCTGGCCTGCACGGGTGGCTTAGTCTTTATGTCCGGCGGAACTGCTATTACCGACAGGAAAAGGGGGCGAGGGCGCGCCTCTGGCGCCTTAAAACCAGCTGCTCCGGGTAGATGGGACTCGATAGCCTGGGAAGGCAGCCCATCTAGGGGGAAGGAAAACCCTGATTTTAAACCTCCGCTGCCTTGCGGTCATACCCCTTTTTTGGGAAAGGCTTCAGGAGTCAACCTCGAGGAAAAATCCGGAGTTGGAGCCCCTAAGGCAGTTCGTTGTTGACGTCGACCTCGTTCTGGCAGCTCCTGCGACGTTGCTGGAACCATGTGTATTGGTATTTGCCTTTCTATTGGATAATTTCAGCAACGTGGAGAGGGGGGACCTGCTGCATGGGTCACCTGCTTCTCCTCCATATCTACCTACCCAGGCTTTGGGCGCAACTCCATAGTCTTAGACTGAAGGGTGCCTACTATCTTAGGAACATGCTTAGTGCATACATAAGTGGACTTATC